GCAGAGAGAACGAGGGGGAATGCCCTGCCACAGAGGCGGGGTGGGATGGGGGTTGGGGTGTGGGAGAGATACTGGGACCCGTGGTGGTGGTGGAAAATGGGCGCTGGTGGAGGGATGGGTGTTTGATCATTGTATAACTGAAATCCAAACACAAAAATTTGTGGGTCTACAACTGTACCTCATGGTGTTTCACTAAAATTAAAAAATAAAAATAAATAAAAATAAAAAGAAACGAGAATCCGGATTACATGTGGAAGTTCCTAATCTTTAACGCTGACAACTGTAGCACTGTCCCACTGTCCTCCTGTTGTTCATTGATTTGCTCGAGCGGGCACCAGTTATGTCTCCATTATGAGACTTGTTACTGTGTTTGGCATATCAAATATGTCACGGGTAGCTTGCCGGCTTTGTCGTGCGGGCGAGATACTCCTGAGAGGGGTGGAGGAATCGAACCTGGGTCGGCCGGCCCAGCCTCATGCAAGGCAAATGCCCTACCTATGACGGTAGTGGGTTAATAAGTAGAACTTATTAACGCGAGGAACGCTGACAACTAAGCTGTCTTTTTTTTTTAAAAAAAAAAAAAGGAAGGTGGGGACGCTGGACATGTTCCAGGGCCACTCTGGGCGGTGCACAGGGGCCATTCCTTGGACCACATGCAGTGTGGGATTCGAACCACCCCCGTGGCCGCAGCCCCGTGCAAGGCAAGTGCCTTAACCACTGTGCTATCTGCCCAGTCTGACAACTAAGTTTTCCAAAGAAGAAGAAAGAAGTTGCAGGAGGGAGACACACAGGCGGGCTACTGGCCTTCGGGCTGGAGACCCCGCAGGGGGTCTGGGCACCCCTCTCCTGCTGAGCCGATGTTCTCTGCGCACGATCCTCATCTGGGCAGGGGTGCGGGGGGAGGGAGGTGTGGGGGGGTGCGACTCTGCTAGGTCAGACACGGAGAGCTGGGGTCCCAGAGACCAGCCTGCCAGGCTGACAAAGGGGGTGTCTGGGGGCAGTTTCAGATTCATGAAACCCCAGAAGGCGGCCCCTGGCAACCACCTCCTGGTCCATCTCCCTGCCCCCTCCCCCCCGCCACGACCAGGGCTGGCTGTCCACTGCCCGGACCGGGGGCCTCTGGCCAATGTGGATGGGACGAGACGAGAGGACCATAGGCCTGCTGTGCCCTGCGGAGCACTGCGCATTCCCTCAGCCCTGGACTCCCACCCCTGCCCTGGGGCCTGGCGCTGGGGGTCTCAGGCTTAGGTGAGCGGCTTTGCTGGCTACGCCCTGCAGACACAGGGGCGCAAGAGCCCTCAGCGCCGAAATGCACTGCCACAAGATTTTCAGGACACTGAAGGCTCAATTGCATTTTTGAAAACCACTGACTTGGGTTTTCTTTTCAGGGGCCTGGTGATGCTGAAACGCCTGATGATGGTCAAACCTGGTGATGCTCGGGGCTGACTCCTGGCTCTGTGCTCAGGGATCACTCCTGGTGGTGCTTAGGGGACCCCTATGTGATGCCAGGGATCAAACGCTGCATCAAGGCAAGTGCTGTCACCCCTGGACTATCTCTGCAGCCTGAAAATACTGAGTCTGAAGGAGAGCAGGCGAGGTCTTAGGTGAATAGGCCACGCTACTGAGAAATAAGCTACAAGCATCAACGGCTGCGCCCCAGTGGATGGGAGTCTTGTCCCTTGCTGGACCGAGATTCTGCGAGGGGACACGCAGGTTGGTCGCCCGCAGAGCTCAAGGTGAGAAACCAAAAGGTCAGTGAAGCCACCGCAGCCTGCCCAGCTCACTGACCTGGCAGAGCAAAGGAACCCCCAAGTTCTCCACTGGCACTGCCCATTTCTGTGGGGGCCACGGGGGCTCAGATTTCTATCAGTAAAATAAAAAGCCGAAAGTTAAAATGAAACGAAACGCGGCATTTCCAGAGACAGCGAGATCTCCACTGGCCTGGACACCAGACAGGGCCCACCCTGGATAACCTCGGTCCCCTCAGCGACTCTGAGACCGGCCCTGCCGTCTCTGGGTCACTAGACAGAACCTATCCAGGGAGACACACTAACGCACGTGTCCCCATGCGCAGATGGTGGGGTGAAGCCCGGCACCTCCCAGGAGCTGCAGTGGAACCCTTGGCTCTCCCGGAGTCCCGAGTCCTCGGCGGCACAGCTCGAGTGCCTGTCCTCAGCTTCGTCCCACCTGTCCCAGGCAGAAGCTCCAATGCCCGCTGCAGCTGACCCTTGATTACATCGCCCTTCGTGGAAGCATCATATCATCATGAAATCAGAAGAATGTGATTTTCAGGTAAGCACATAATCTTAATGAACAGCCTTGTTCCAGGGTCTCCCAGGCTCCAGGATGCTGAGGGTACCTCAGGCCGACTAGTTCGGTCTCCAGCATCTGGTCCTCACTGTCCCGTCCCTCCAGGAGAGACTCCTGAGCACAGAGCTGGGAGTGAGCACTGCTGGATATGGCCCCCAAAACACAAAGGAACAAAGATTTAGTCCAACCCCTCTTCCAGCAAGCACATGATGTTGCAAGCAGCTCCCTGGGTGCCCTCCTAGGTCCCAGCAGCACCATGGGGTCACAACGCCACATGGCCCTGGGGAAGGCCAGGGCTGAGCACTGCATGGTCCAGGGAAGGCGAGAGCTGAGTACCGCATGATCCAGGGAAGGCCAGGGCTGAGCACTGCGTGGTCCCAGGGAAGGCCAGGTCTGAGCACTGCATGTCCCTGGGGAAGTCTGGGGCTGAGCACTGCATGGTCCCAGGGAAGACTGGGGCTGGGCACTGCTTAGTCCCAGGGAAGGCCTGGGCTGAGCACTGCATGGCCCTGGGTAAGTCTGGGGATGAGCACTGCATGGCCCTGGGGAAGTCTGGGGTAGAGCACTGCATGGTCCCGGGGAAGATTGGGGCTGAGCACTGCATGGCCCTGGGGAAGTATGGGGCTGAGCACTGCATGGTCCAGGGAAGGCCGGGGCTGAGTACCACGTGGTCCTGGGGGGAAGGCTGGGGAACTGAGGACCTGACAGCAGGACGCCCAGTGCCTGAGACCCTGGCCGACCCTGTACTTCAAGGACATGGTTTTGCATCCATCCCCAGCAGCCCCGCCACCACTCTACCCTGGCTTCCCTCTCCAGTCAGAAGGAAAATCTCTCATGGCAGAGCCGGAGCTCTGGGAATAGGAAGTGGCCTTGGTCCTCATCCTCCTGGCCACAGAGTCAGGAGGGCCACAGCCCGGCTGGTTTGCTCAGAGTCTTATCACAGAAAAGGAATGGGGGTGCAGACATGCACTTAAGATTGTGAGGGGGGGGCCCCCACATTCCCTCAGGCCCTGCTGTCAGCAGCAACGGGCCCAGGACAATGACCCAAGCAGATTTCCAAAATTAGCCTCATCCCTGGGGCGGGTGTGGGGGAGGCAGCATCCGGACTATTTTGGTCAGGGTACTCTCCCTGGCTGTTTGGCGGGGAGAAATTCAGTCTGGGGAGAAGGAAGTGGTGGGGTTTCCAGAGGGGAGGGTTTTCAGCAGATTCACCTACAACCCCCCACCCACCTCCGCCCAGTTTTCACTCTTTGATTCCCCCAGAACAGAACAAGAAGGCCGGCCACTGCGGTGAGGCGTGTGAGTTCAATGTGGAGAGTGTGTGTGTGTGTGTGTGTGGGGGGGATGATGACCCAGGGGATGTCCAAAGAGAATCTGACTGCCCGGCACAACCTCCGGGGGTCACGAGACACAGACAGAGGGCCCCTGAGAGGTGGGTGTCAGCTGAGTCTCCCCAACATGGTGACCCTATCACTTGCCGCCATGCAGGATCGGGGTCCGGACGCAGGGGACAGGCCCCACCTCGAACGCTCCCTTCTCGGTGCGTGTTCGTTGGTATGTTTGCTTAGTGACCCCTGACCATGACGGTCACATACAGATGCCCATTCTCAGGGGCCAAGCTAGCCCGAGGCTGGGAGCCCAGAGTGAGGGGCCGTGCGAGAGAGGAGGGGGTGAGCGCAGAGGTCAGGGTCAGACGAGCCTGGACCTCCTAGACACAGGAAAAACTGCCTCGGACCCCATCTGGATGGTAAACCTCCTTCCCTTACCTTCCCGCCATGCAAATACACATATACACACACACACACGCACGTACACTGCGAGTATGTGTACACACACATGCACAAACACACACGCGCACACACACACATGCGCGCGCGCACACACACACACACACACACGCAGTGTGGGCCTGCAGGCCTATTTGGGTCAGGAAAGGGAAGAGGCTGCAGCTGTCCCGAGGCCAAGAGGGCAGAGCGGGCAGGCACAGGCAGTGCCCTCGCTGGCTGGGCCCAGGGAGCAGGGCCAGGGAGGCAAGTGGGCCAGGCCCAGGGAACAGGAACCCCTCAGGCCAGCGGGAGCTGGCGGGGAGAGCGGCCAGGCCCAGGGCTTTGCTGCTCCCACTGGCCCGAGCAGCCGACAGCTCTGGCTCCGGCCCACACACCGAACGAAATCTTTGCCCGAGATGAGTCAGAGGCTGGGATGGGGGAAGGGCTGCCGCCTTCCCTGCACCCCGAAGCGGCGCACCCTGCGGGGCCCCCGCCTCTCCAGCCCACCCCTCTGCCCCCCAGCCCTAGGGACTCGCCACCTCAGCTGGCCCAGGAGGAAGTGGGGGACCCACGGAGGCGGTGGGGGACTGGCCCCATGTTTACAGAGCCTGAGGACCCATCACTGGGACCCGGCCAGGAGGGGACATGCCAGCCCAGGGGCCCGAGAGGGGCCCCACGTCTGCTTGTTGCCCTGCGGCTTGTTCTGAATCTGCCATCCTCATCACCCCTCACCTGCTGGGACGGGGTGCTGAGGGCGGCGTCCGGCCTGGGGCAGAGTGGGCGTCCCTCCCCAGGGATGACGGATCGGGGGCTGGGCACCCCAGGTGACCGAAGGGGAGGCCCTCAAAGTGTCCCCCTTCCCAACCCCCCAATCACCATAACAACCAGCTCCCCAGGGCCTTCCATCCATCTGCCCACACTCACGCTTTAAAGGCCGGGAGGTAGGAGTATCTCGAAACGCTGCTGAGGTTGTAGAGGAACGGCAGGTGTTTCCGGATGTCCGTGGTCGCCCAGTTGCTAAAATACGTGTTGAGTAAACCCTGGTCCCCACCTGGAAAAGAGCATGAAACGGTCACTGAGGAATAAATGTCACTGGGCCTTTCGACACGGGCGACCGCACTGTGGGCTGAGGAGAAATCCCACCTTTGGGTGCTGGACTGGAAGGGACACAGGGACACAGGGACCGGGGGGGCCGTGGGCACACTGGCAGTGAGGGGAGCGAAGCTGTACCTCAACACTAGCACCCAGACACTCGGCACGGCGTCACCTGAACTGTGACTGAAAAACACGTGGGCTGGAGCAACAGTACAGCAGGGAGCGTGTTGCTTTGCACGTGACCAACCTGGGTTCGATCCCCGGCATTCTGTACGGTCCCCTAAGCACCGCCAGGAGTGATTCCTGAGTGCAGAGCCAGGAGTAAGCTCTGAGCATTGCCGGGTGTGGCCCCCAACAAAACAACATCAACAAAAGTCGACCTTAAGCCCCCGGCACACTACAGATGTTTTCTGGGACGTTGTGCTCCCGTGCCCCTTCATTAGACCAACACATCTTTATTGGGCAGCTATTACATGTCAGGCCCTGGTGAGCCCGCAGGGAACAGAAACATGGTCCACGCTGGATGGCGACATGATCCGCGACCGACCCCCCCAGGGGAGCTGGGTAGGGGGCTCTGAGGGAGCACGGCCGCCAGCCGGCTGAGACTCAACACGGACCCGACACTCCTCGCCTGGGAACCCCTCCAGGAGTGATCCCTGAGTATAGGGCCTTGGGCACTACCAGGTATGCCCCCGAACCTAGAATCACAACAACACCTAAAAGATTGACTTTCCCCTTTCTTTCCCTCCGGGGTCATTTGCTATGGTGTGTCTGGGGGGGTGTCCGCAGTGCTGCAGACTTTTGTTCATTTGTGCTACGAGGCCTGCAGTGTGTGTGTGTGTGGGGGGGGGGGGGTTGGAGGGCTAGGAATCCACACTGAACGCTGCAAGGCCTCACTCTGTGGGGACCCCAAGAAGCTCCGAGGGTCCTGCTGCAATTCTCGGCCAACCAGAACTGTGTGTTTGGGGCGAGGGTCCGAGGATATGGAGCAGTTCAGACCCAGCAGTGCCCAGGTGGTGGCGATGCTGGGAGCCTCCGGGACCCGGAGTCAGGTGGTGCTGGGAACACCACACAGGTGCCAGCCAGGCCTGCAGCCTACCCCTTGGATCACGTCACTGAACGTGGGAGTCGCAAAACTAAAGCGACCGCAGCAGCTGAGCTCTCTGAGCAGGTGGTTCCTGGGGTGTCTGAGAAGATGCAGTGAACTGAACATGCTCACCACCCCAAGAGAAATCCAGGCTATGGGCAGAGCCAACGTCTTCACGTCACTCAGGCTCGACCCCACTGAAGCCAGGAACAATGGGTTTCTTCTACCCTGGTAAATCCCAGCTTTGGGGGTTCACTTTAAGAAGAGATTAGTTTAAAATTTGAGAAATTTTTTTTTAGCCTTTTGGGTCACATCCGGCAATACTCAGGGGTCACTCCTGGCTCTGCACTCAGGAATGACTCCTGGTAGTGCTCAGGGGACCATATGGGATGCTGGGAACTGAACTTGGGTCGCCACGTGCAAGGTAAACGCCCTCCCCGCTGTACTATCGCTCCAGCCCCCAAATTCGGGAACTCTGATGCTCAGCTACGAGTCCACTTTCTCAGCCAGAGGCCAGCCATTCCGCTCCACGTTTTTCTTATCACCCTGAACCTTCAAAACTCACCCTCACACCATGAACTGCATGCTTAGCTTAAATGTCTGCAAGGTCTCACCGGAATGGGCTTTTATGGAGACAGGGAGGGGAAAAATGTGTTATTATCAGTCTGTTCCTGGCCTGACCTTGAACATTCTGCCCCCAGCGAGGAACTAAGATGATTTTTTGAAATTCATTTCCACGAACAAAACAAACTATAGAAATGTAGGCAAGAGTGACAGCCCACAAATACTTCCAGCTCTGCAAAACTATGCAGGGCTCTCAACTGTGCTGATTGGGGGGAAAAAACCCAAAGCCTCTGGCTACCAACCCTCGGGGGAGAGAGGAGACTTGTTCTCTGCCTGTTTTATAAGGAGGATGTTCTGGCTGCCCCAGGAGAAGGCATTTTGCATGATTCATCAGCATGACGATCAGGTCAAAGAGCTTTCTCAATCTTGGAAATGTTTTCCAAGGATATTGTAGCGTACAATCTCTGGGACAAGGAAAATACCCAGACATCTCTCTCTCTCTCTCTCTCTCTCTCTCTCTCTCTCTCTCTCTCACACACACACACACACACACACACACACAAATGCAGAGACTGGTTTGCATGCCACCCAGGTGAGTTGCTGTACCCACAGCAGACGCGCAGCAAGGAAGTCCTGAATGGGCACTGAGGGAGGAACAAACGCTGACCTCACTGCACTGCCCACCTCACTGCACTGCCCCGGAGGGCAGGAAGGCCAAGGCTGGCACCAGGGCCTGCTCTTTCCAAGCCCATGGCGGGGCAAGACGCCCCATGAACAGGGCACTCATCGATGCCAGGGGAGAGAACGGCACTTCAGAGAAATGCGGGCACACTCCTCTCACTCCCTACAGATGAAGACTTCCGTTTGATTTCTCTGGGGGGATTTATGGGGACACACACGTGGTACTCAAGGGCTCTTCCAAGCTCGGCGCTGCTCTGGTCACGCAGTGCTGGGCATCCTGGCTGGGCTGGTCTCATGAGAGATAAGCACCTTCACCTGTGCCCGGTCTCTAGGGCCCGGTCCCTTTCCCTTTCTGCTCTTGTTCAAGGTCCTTTTCTACCCATATTCTGGATTAATTGACATCCATGCAAGAGAAGGGGGCAATTTTTTTGAATGTTGTTTTCAATTTGTTTTGCTGGCTGTGTTTAGGGATCACTCCCGTTGAGCTCGGGGAGCCAGACGGGTGCTGGGGATTGAACCCCGGTCAGCCGCATGCACGGCAAGTGCCCGACTCATTGCACCATCACTCTGGCCTCTAGAACTGGACAACATACACGAAGGGCCACAACCGGCTCAGGTTGGGGGCAGCTGGCGAGCCAGTGTCCCGGAGCAGGGAACCAGGAAGAGTTGGCACTCTCCCAAGCCCTGTGGTCAGCCAGTGCTAGGCGGAAATACCTCTCTCCTTCCTTCCCTTTGCAGGCGGGTCCAGTTGGAAGCCAACTTGCCACAAAGATCACAGCAGCCCTAATGTCACACTTAATTAAATTTATTTATTTATTTATTTATTTATTTTGCTCGAGCGGGCCCAGTAACTGGGCCAGGAGTAAGCCCCAGGAGTACTCAAGGCTTATTCCTGGCTCCAGGCTCAGGGACCACCCCTGGTGATGGAGGAACCATATGGATGCCGGGGATGGAACCCAGGTCAGTCACGTGCCGGCAGTACTATTGCTCCAGCCCCCTATTATCACATTTGAACAAACTTTAACTCCAACTCTTTTTCTCCAGATAAGCATGATTTTACGAGTTACCAAGAGTATCTCGCCCGCATGGCAAAGCCTGGCAAGCTACCGTGATGTATTCAATATGCCAAACACAGTAACAACAAGTCTCACAAAGGAGACGTTACTGGACCCACTCAAGCAAATCGATGAACAATGGGAGGACAGTGCTACAACTTAGCAGTAGAGTGTCTGGCACGTAAATGTGAGACTCTGGGTTTGATTCCTAGTCTTTCTGTCTCACAATCACATACACACAAACACACACACACACACACCCTTTAAAACCTTCTCATGCTCTTTTGATTTACTCTTTCCAAGCACAGAAGATGTGACCACTGAAGGGTCTCTGTCACTACTTCAAATTAGACTTCAGAACCTAGCAAATGCTGTGCCCTCCCTGGAGGTCACAGGATTCTGCTTGTGGTGAAAACACCCCGGCCACTCAGCCATCGATCCTCTCCTATTTTAATGACAGACCACAATTTCACTCCTTCACAGTAAGGAACTCAATCCCAGGATTATAATAAAAAGGATGCTCCAAGTTGGAAAAGATGGACTCGTGGTTTTGACTCGGGTCTTTAAACCAACACATGGGGATGAGAAGTGACAGCGATTCTCCAGCAGAAACCTGCCTCATTCAAGCCAGCAGCACCCTTTAAGGAAAACCCAACTGGATTTGCATGCAGAGTGAGTTCACCCAGCCAAGGACACTGGTGTCCCTGCCCACCAGGAGTGAGTGCAGACAAAGGAGCGAGTTGGTATCTATGATCTCACTCTCTGGCTGGGGCTCCCAGGGCTGACCTTATCTAGACACATTCAACAGTGCTGGTGAGCTTTCCCCTTTCACAAGGGCGACGGTTCAACTTTCAGGAAACATGTAACTTCTGCGACGATGAAGTAAGTGCCAAGCCGGTTTGCAAAGACAAGACTCCGAACAGGAACTCAGCCAGAGGGAAGTGTAGACACACCAGCCTCCTTCCTGGTGGCTTCTAGCTCGGAATTCTAATACTCTGGGGGAGAAAGGGGGAGTCGCGGTTCCCAGCGCCCTTTGCCATATTAGGATTCCTGCCTGGCCCCGGGCGGGACTGGCCACATTCTTTCCCATCAGGAGGCTCTGAAAGCAGCTGCAGAGGCTCGGCCACCAGCACTCTCCTTGCTGGTCACTGGGCCGCAGTGCCCACTGTATTCTGCCCCGCACACGCGTGAGATTAAGCAGAACTTGGAAGATGCTCAGAAGGAGATAAGGCCTTGGCCGCTTGGTTCTAATCACAGGGGGGGGGGGGGGTGAGGGAGGGGGAAACGAGGAATTCAAGCCCCGGAGGAGCAGAGCAGAGACATGGGGGCGGGGGTGGGCCAGACTTGCTGTGACTATTAGAAATGTTCGGGCCAGGTGGGCAGGGACAAAGGAACATATGAAAACGCTTGTCTTGGGTCCAGTAGGCAGAGTGTTGAAAAGTGGACCCAGGGGCCGGAGCGATAGTCCAGCGGGGAGGGTGTTTGCCTTGCACGCAGCTGACCTGGGTTCGATCCCTGGCACACCAGGAGTGAACCTTAATGCAGAGCCAGGAGTCAGCCCTGAGCACAACTGGGTGTGGCCCCAAAACCAAACACAGAAAAGGAAAAGAAAAGGGAAAGGAAGGGAAAGGAAAAAGAAAAGTGGATGCAGCAAGCAAGGACCCTATGAAGAGACGCAGGCATGGGCCAGAGTGTGTCCTGTGAACATGACGTGTGAGTGTGCGCTGTCCCCGACACGGATCCCACACCTGGGCGGGGGCAGGGGGAGCAGGAACCATTGCATCTGACCCAGGCTGGCGGGGGGAGGGGGGGTCGCTGGTGTGGCCCGCATCTCCCGTTGGATCGCAACAACATCTGGGGAAGAAAGTCGCGCTGTCGGGGTCAGAGCCGAAGCCTCAGAGCCCTCAGCTAAATGCCCAGGGTAACGGAGGAAATTCCACCCTCGCCGCCAACCAGGTGTGGAGCAGGGCCCGGAACGGCCCCATCCCAGGTGGGCCGGACACTGAAAGGCCTCACTCAATGCTGAGATTCTGGCCGTGAGTGGCAGGGTGCATTCTAGTTCCACACTTCTCAGCATTCTGGCCTCTCAGCAGCAAAACCCAACCCTTGGCTCCCTCCAGACCCCAGAGCAAGGCAAAGGATCTGCCCGGTGCTCTCTGGCATTCAAATCCTTTTCTGTTCTAAAACCCCAACCCAGGGCCCGAGCGAGAGTACAGCGGGTCAGGAAACTTGCCCCGCACATGGGTGCACCCGGGTTCAATCCCTGGCATCGGGCTAGAGTGATAGCACAGCAGGTAAGGCGTTTGCAGTGCATGCAGCCAACCCAGGTTCGATTCCCAGCATCCCATATGGTCTTCCGAGCACCGCCAGGAGGAATTCCTGAAAGCAGAGCCAGGAGTAACCCCTGTGCATCGTTGGGTGTGACCCAAAGAGAGAAAAAAAGTCCCTGGCGTCCCCTGTGGCCCCCCGAGCATGGCCAAGAGTCATTCCTGAGCAGGGCCTGTGTAAGCCCGGAGTATCACCCCCCCAAATCATACCCATCATGGGGTCAGAGAGCTAGGACAGCGGGCAAGGCCACGAGCCCGTGGCTAAGGGAGGTTCTAAGCCAGGCACTGTGTAACCGGGTCCCATACCCTGAGCCCCTCCTGGAGTGTTCTCTGAGCACAGAGCCCGGAGAAAGCCCTGAACAGCGCCAAGTGTGGCCTGGAAAACCACTGTAGCACTGTAACACTGTCTTCCTGTTGTTCATCGATTTGCTCGAGTGGGCCCAGTAATGTCTCCATTGTGAGGCTTCTTGTTACTGTGTTTGGCATATTGAATACGTCATGGGGAGCTTGCCAGGCTTTGCCATGCGGGCGAGATACTCTTGGTAGGGTAGCTTGCCGGAAAACCAACACGTTTTTATTTTATTTATTTATGGCTTTGGGGGTCACACCTGGCGATGCTCAGGGGATACTCCTGACTCTGCACTCAGGAATCACTCCTGGCGGTGCTCGGGGGACCATATGGGATGCCGGGGATCGAACCCGGGTCAGCCACGTGCAAGGCCAATGCCCTCCCTGCTGTGCTATGATCTGGCCCACCAACAAGTTTCTAAAAAATGAAAAATAAGACCCTAACCCAAATCCTTTCCCACAGCCTGGCCCGCTGCCAAGTGGGACCTGAGCTCTTCTCTGTCGACAACCAACTCGACACTCTCCTCACTGAGAGATCAGGGCAGGTGCCGACCCCCGCCCCCAGCTCCCCCGTGGGGTGCACTCCCTCCCTCTACTGGAGCTGAGAACTGACGCTGGGTTTCTGGCATTATTCCCTGCGAATCTGACGCCAGGCGGTGAGGAAAGTCTGTGGACAGGAAGGTTAAGAAGAGCCGGGAGTGGGGGAGGGGCGGGGGCGTGGAGCCTTTCACAAGGCTCAGGGCTGGAGCCGCCGCCTGGCAGAATGCTGCCTTCATTCCTCCCGGGAGCCGAGCCAGTGACCACCGCAGGGCCTGGCCACTGCCGCTCTGGAAGGCCGTGCCCGGCAGGAATTCCCAGGCCCCCGGCCCCACTGTCAGTACCCCTGCTGTTACCCAACATGCACAGCGCCAGCAGGGATGGGATCGCCTGGTCCTCTCTGCTGGGGGCCGTCCCAGGAGCTGGGGAGATTGGGCAGGCCTCTGGCTTCTACCCTAGCGAGGACAACCAACTAGGTCTCCAGACACTGCCTAATTCCCAGGGGGCCCCAAGTATCAGCTCCCCGCCCCTCCCCCCTCCCCTCTGCAAGAGAGCCGCTGTGTATAAACTAGTCCAACAGCGAAGCAAGGGGACTTCAGCACTGCAGGCTTCCGCGACAAAGGCCACCAGATTTCCGTCTCCAATCCACTTAAAATGTTCCCATTTCCCAGCTCTTTGCAAAAAAAAAAAAAAAAAAAAAAGGACAAACTTTTAGATGTAGCTTTTAACCCAAAATGTTTGAACTTGCAATTTTCATTTTGGGGGCCCACACCTGGAGCTGCTCATGGCTCTGTCCTCAGGGATCGTTCTTGGGGGGCTCTTTGGGGGACCATATGCGGAGCCTCCAGGGTTCAAACCAGAGTGGGTAGCATGCAAGACAATTTTGCTTTTTCAGTGCACAATGGGATAAAGAAAATGGTTCCTTCCAGAGCACCTGGGCTCAACTCGGAGGCATCTGGGACAGGCCAGCTGACTCCTCACTGCAGTGCTGAGGACTCTGCTAGGGGATAGAGAACCCAGGGTGTGGGTGGAGAGTCTGGGATGGAGATGGTGGAACTGTCACCCTCCAACCCCCCCGAACAGGGCTTCAAGTCTCTGACCTCGAATGATCAGAGCAGGAGGATTTCTTCCTAGCTCCAACTGCCTGTTCTTCTCTCTTCAAGAATCATTGATTTTGCAGTTACTTCCGTAGGCGAAACACTGTTTTCTTTATGTGGGGAGGGATTTGTGGTGGCGGCTTATTGTTTCAGAGGCCTGAGAGTCTCTGGCTGGCTCTGCCGTCAGGGGCACGGAGAGGACGAGAGGCTGGAGGCCTGGGGCCCCCACCGGCCGCACACCAGCCCTTTCCAGGCTGTGCACACTCCACAGGTAAACACACCGAGAGGCCTGCTCTGAGGCCTGGATACTGCACGCGCCAGGCACGGGCCCCCTGCCACCTTCTGGCGAATGCCTCCTGGCAGAACGGGCCCGAGGATCAGGGTCACCCCGTGGAACTGCCACTGGGACAAGTTCACTCAGGGTTTAATGAGAACTGCTAAAGCTGGGAGTGTCTGCTTCTCTTCCGAATCCTGGACAAACTGGGGTTCTTCTCCCCACCCCACCCCACCTCACTGAGGCAGTCGGATTACAGGCAATGCCTATCTGCATTTGAATTCTTCTGTCAAGAACAGATGTAGGGGCAGGAGTGATAGTATAACGGGTAAGGCATTTGCCTTGCACGCTGTGACCTGAGAGCGATCCCCAGCATCCTACATGGTCCCCCAAGCACTGCCAGGAGTAATTCCTGAGTGCAGAGCCAGGAGGAACCCCTGAGCATCACCAGGTATGACCCAAAAACCAAAAAAAAAAAAAAAAAGAACAGATGTAGACACACACACACACACACACACACACACACACACACGTCTTTCTGCGTTTCCCCAAAGAACAACCTCACTTCCAAGCTTTGCATCAGCTCACACATCGCTCACTGCCAGGTCAGAGCAAGGATCAGTCTGTCTCCTGTGTTCCTGGGAAGAGCCTGGAGAAATGGCCACAGCTGCCCGGGAGAGGTCAGGGGGGCTACTACATACCATCAAAACTGCCCCGCTCGGAAGCCAGATGCAGCAGCTGCTTGTACGTCTGCATGGAAGGCCGGTAGACGAACACGCCCGAGTTGAAGCAGTCAGGCCAGCCGGGGTCGGGCGCCGCCGACAGCTCTTCCCTCTCGAAAAGGTCATCGATGTTCGTCAGGACCTGGTAGTGCAGAAGAAACGGGGCGGTGAGGGGGGAAAGTGTGTCCGCAATCCCAGGCTGCCGCGGGAACGTCTTAAGCTATCCTTCAGTTGTGGGGCTCACGGGGGCTCTGCGGATTCTGGCTGTCAGGCAGCCTGTTCTGTCCTCACCCGACACTCTGTGGGTGCTGTTTTATCTCGTGGGCTTTATCTCAACTGTCCTGATGAGACTGAGCACAGCACAGAGGTCTCGTCGGCCTCCAGGGAGCCCGGTACAGGGAGACGAGGCCACACTCACCAGCGTGTCTGCGTCCATGAACACGCACTTGGAGTACTGCGTCAGCGACCAGCAGTGGAGCTTGGTGAGCGTCACCCCCAGCTCCGGCCTCTTCATTAAAGTCAGGTGGGCAGAATCCCCGCTGTCCAGGACGTCCACAACGATGACCTCATCAAAGACCGTCTCCAAGGCTTTCCTGTCAAGATTCAGACAGGGACGCGGCACGTTAGCCTCCGTCCTGAGCAATCCGCCCACCTCCCAGGAGGTCCGATTCACCTCTGATGACCCGTGCAACAGCCACCTGCAGCCCTTGCACAAGGATGGGCCTTTCCAGGGCCCTAATTTGCCTCAGACAAATGACGTCAATTTGCATTGCCTGCAGAAGCAGTCACCAAAATAAAAAGTGCTCATGGTATGGATGGAAAAGCCCTTGTCTTCAAACACAAATTTCACTGATGCCTGGGGATGCTGGGCACCACTGGACCTAGCTTGTCACTGTCACTGTCACTGTCCTTCCATTGTTCATCGATTTGCTCGAGTGGGACCAGTAACATTGTGAGACTTGTTACTGTGTTTGGCATATCGAACACATCATGTGTAGCTTGCCAGGCTTTGCCGTGTGGGTGAGATACTCTTGCCGGGCTCTCTGAGAGGGGCTGAGGAATCAAACTCGGGTCAGCCTTGTCGGCCGCGTGCAAGGCAAACACCCTACCCGCTGTGCTATCCCCCCAACCCTGGAACTACCTTGTAAAAAAAAAAAGCCAAACAAAAACGGGCTGATGCTGAGTATGTGTCGCGGTCTGTCTGCAGCAGCCCAGGCCTCTGACAATGACACGGGTCAAAACTGATTCCTGCTGACCGCGGCGGGCTTTTATCACAAGTGGTGCGAACTAAGCTGCGGATCAGACCTGCCACCGAGTCCCTCAGCAATGACTGTGGCTCAAGCAGCGCAAGGAGAGTGGAGGGAACGGGCCTGGCTGAGCCCACCTGCACACCCGGCCTGGGCTTAGTCCTGGGACACAGCGAGGTCCCCAGACACCCCTTTTCCGTGGCCAGTGGTCCTAGGTTGCTCTTTTCCTTGGGTGGTGGTGAGGCATTTTGCCTTAAGGCGAGTTTACTGTCTTCTCCATGTCTTAAGGACGCGCTGGAGTCTTTCTGATTTCAACCTTTTGCCCAGTTGGGAGAAAGCTGATACTGTATTACTGGTCCCCAAACTGCACCCAAATCGGTTCCAGTCACCCCAAACTGATACCACTCAGGATGACGAGGCATGGGATCTTTTGGGCATTTTCTTAGGAGTCAGGATGGTCCTCTCTCCCCTCCTCCTCTAACTCTCCCTGCCCCCACCCCCTGGCGCGCGCGCGCACTCTCTCTCTCTCTCTCTCTCTCTCTCTCTCTCTCTCTCTCTCACACACACACACACACACACACAGAGCCGTCTTTTCAGAGGCTTCTGGTTATTTTCTTCTGGAAGAGAGTCAAGACCTCCCACTTGCAGGCGGCTGGGAGAAGGTACAACTGCACCGGGCACAGAGCCCCCAGTGTGCCCGGACCCATGTCAGGCTGGAACTGGAAAGTGCCGAGTGCATTCGGACACCTCCAAGTTTCAGCCCAACAACTTACCAAACAGAAGCAAGCCAATCACCCGGCACCAAGAGCACACCTTCCCACCCCTGCCCGCCCCCCAGGGCTCAAGCCTGTCCCCTGGGAATAAAAGCCCTCGGGTTACAGAAGTCCGGGGGCAATAGAAGGGGCCACAACTCTCCTCCAACCTCCCCCAAGGTCTGGGATGGCTGGAAAGAGAAAAGAAAGCACCCCCCACTGTGAGCGGGGCTAGGGGCCGTGGGACCCTCCCCAGAACCTCACGCCCGCACTCACCTTTTCCAAGAAACACAGAGGGTCCAGAGAGGGACCCGAGCCCTTGGTGGCACAGGGCAGACCATCACCTCCCTCCCAACACCTCCCTCCCTCGAGGCGTTTCCTGCCCGCCGCACTGCCCACTGCCCCTTCCCACCCGCTGCCAAGCCCCGGACAAGTGTCCCAGGGCGCACAGGCCTCACCTCATGGGCTCCGAGAGCTGTGGTGTCACCAGCACCACCAGCCTGCGGGTGGTCCTTTGCCTCTTCAGGGAGGACCCCAGCACCAGCGCTCCTCGGGCGTAGGCATCGTTGGTGGTCAGTGTCACGAAGGCCTGGTCTGGACAGGACGGGTCAGAGAGAGGGGGCGTCACCACAGTCCGCCTGCAACCAGGTGGACAGGTGGGGTCTCGGGACCCCTGGAAGCCACGACTGAGCAGGTCCTGCTCCCCCGAGAAGACAGCTCTGTTCACTGAGGGGCAGATGTTTTGTTTCGTTTTTGTTTTTCTGTATTGTCTGTTACGGGGAACTGCTGAACATCCTTACACAAAAGTGCTCATGTAGGAAGCAGTGTGAAGGTTGTTCTGTTTTGGCAGGAGCCATTAAGGCATTCTGTAGGATACCACTAATGTGTTGCTAAAGCTTGGGTGATGTGAGCTCGGCATATATATCTGAAAATATGTATCTATGCATATACATATATTTCCCTCTATGATTGGTTGCCTACTGTCTGAACCCCATCAACGATGGCTACGGAGAATGGGCAGGGGGTGTCTTATGACGTGTCCAGGAGTATGTTCACTCCTATGTGAGGCTCGGCCCCAGCGTGTGGAGGGTGGCCTGGAGCGTGGTGGCGGTTGTGTAGTGGAGGCTGGGGCCCTTGGGGCAGGGAGGGCTCTCACCCCCACCCCCAGGGCGTTGGGAGTAGCAGATGTTTCTTGGCTTTTTTTTTTGAATTTCAAGTCTTGGGGCCACAGCTGGCCACGTGCTCAGGTCCTCCTGGTTCTGAGCTCAGGAATCACTCCTGGCGGGCTTGGGGGAGGACCATGTGGGATGCCAGGGATCAAACCCAGGCCAGCCGCGTGCCATGCAGATACTTTACCCACTGCACTCTCTCTCTCTCTCAGGCAAGGGGCAGACTGCTTCCAAATTCCGTTTTACAATTCTGGTTTGGGGGCCATACTGGCGTTGCTCAGGGCTTACTCCTGGCTCTGTGCTCAGAGATCACTCCTTGGAGGTGCCAGGGATGGAAACGGGGATCTGCTGTGTGCCAGGCATGGCCCTTCCCGCTGGTCTATCGCTCCAGCTCCAGGGGTGCCTTCTGGCTGGGGCAGGGGCAACCAAGAGCCCGCCGAGCCCGCCCAGCCCGAGGATGGCCGAAGGCACGCCCCTGGGCTGGAACCCCTTTAGCAAGCTCTGAATGGCCCGCTGAGTCCAGGTGTGAGCTCGATTCTCAGGACAAGTCAGGGGCCGAGACTGCCCCAGAGGGCGACCCCCACGCAAAGAAGCCCGAGTTTCTCTGGCCAGGAGCTGCTTCTGGCCCGGTCTGCAACACCGCCAGCTTCTTCAACCGTTTCCCCACTGTGGTCCCGGGAGTCTCGCACCCGCCCGGCGAGGTCTTCCCTCTGGGCCGCTCAGCACTCGGGGGCGGACTTGGGGACCCCTCTCCCTGCGCGAGCTCTGACCGCCCTGCCTCAGTCCCTGGGCGAGGCCCCAGGGTGCTCTGTCTTGCAACACCCCCCCCCCCCCCACCCACCCACCGGGCACAGGCGCGCGAACAACCCCTCAACACGCGCGACTCCGAGATCGACCTCCGCCCGGGCAGAACGAGGCAGGTGCGTGATTCCCGGTGGTTATTCCTCCTCGCACCCTCGGCCCCGCCCCCGGCTCTGGGGGGCTCTCCGCAGCCAGCTGGGGGGCATCCAAACGCCGGGACGCTTGGGCCAGCACCGGCGGGGTCACTCGGGGCATCGTTGCCCAACCGGGGCTGGGACACCGCGTCGCCAAGTCGCCCGGGTCTGTCTTGGGTTTCCTCCTCCGGCCTCGCCCCTTCTGCGAGGCGGCGGCCGCGGGCGCCGGAACCCCCTGGCGGCGCTCGAGCAAGCCGGGCCCCCCGCCCGGGGTCCGCGCGCCCCCCCAGAGCCCCGCGGGAGGCTCGCCGGGAAGTGCAGGGCCGGGACAGGCGTCCTGGAAGCGCGCGGCGAGAGGGTCGCGCGCGGGGCGGGGCGCGGGTCCGGGGCACCGCAGGGCCGGGCGCGGGGGCAGCTCCGGACGCCCCGGGCCTCGGCCGGCGCCCCCCGCGCCCCGCGCGCCCCCGCCCGGGCCTGCACTGGGCGCCGCCGCCGGAACCGGGTCACCCCGCGGCTCGGGCCGGGCCGGGCCGCGCTCCGCCCCCGGACGCCCCGCAACAAGTGGGGCCGCGCCGCCCCGCCCGAGCCGCGACCCCCGCCGGGCCGGGGCTCGGGTCAGCGCCGGGGGTCCGGGGGCCGGGCCGGGCGGGCGCGCCTACCTGTCATGGTGCCGCCGCAGCCGCAGGTCGGGGCGGGGAGCGCGGGGCCGGGCGGGCGCCCGCCGCGCTCTTATAGCGGCCGTCACGTGAGCGCGCGCCCGCGCCTCCTCGCGCCCGCGCCCGCGCCCCCGCGCCCCCGCGCCCGCGCCTCCTCGCGCCCGCGCCTCCTCGCGCCCGCGCCTCCTCGCGCCCGCGCACGCGCCCCCGCGCCCCCGCCGCCGCCCGGGCGGCCCGGAGCCCCGCAAGTCCCTGAGCCTGAGCGGTGGCCCTGGCTCGCACTCCTGCACTCTGCTCGCACGGACACGCACACTCACACACCCTCTGACTTACACGCTCTCTCACACTGACACACACTCTCACCTTGACACACGCGCGCACACTCACGCACATCGTACACTATCACACTGACACGCTCATGCTCTCACATTGACTCAGACACTCTCACACCGACACTCACACACTGACTTACACACTCATACACTCACACACACTCACGCTGGCTTACACTCACATCCACAGACTCTCACACTGACTTCCACATTCACCTACACTGAGGTATACACACATCCCTACACTCATACTGATTTGCACACATTCATACGTTTTCACACCAATTTACACACATCCATATACTCTCACCCTGACACACGTCTTCATACACTTTCAAACCAAATGATCTGATTCGTGTATTCTCACACCGAATTACACATTCATACACTTTCACACATACCTACATACACCGAATTGTACCACATACTCACATATACACTGTCGGAAACATGCAAACACACTGTATCACACAAACACACATACAAACTCACGTACACACAAGCTTACAGAAAAATACATACACAACTCACACGTTTCCACACACAAACTGACTTATATACAAACTGACACACCCAAACTCAGGCACACTCACATACACAGACATTATCTTATAAACTCACAAGCGCACGATAGCTTACATACACAAACACACAAATATGCACACTAACATATATACAAACACACCCCCCCCCCCCACACACACACTCTCTTCTCTCTTTTCCCATCTCCAGACTCATCTGAAGTGCTTAAATTAAACACGAAACTCAGTCCCAATTCTCTTTCCCTCCTAGAACGCCAAGTCTGGAAGCATCAGGGTCATTGCACGGTTTTCTGGTATTTCCCCCCAATACTGAGACTCTTCGTCTGTCACTGAGATGCCCGTCCCCCGCACCCCTCCATCAGTCAGGTATGTAAGGGCTTCCTTTCGTTCTCCCACTTGCCTCTGTGAGGTCTGAGTTTTACAGATGAAGAACCTGAAGAGCAGGAAGGCGACTCCCTGATTACTCAGACTTGCTCCTCCCGGGAGAGGGGGCACTGGAACTGGGCTCTCTGCCCACAGGCCTTCTGATGGCAGGGGGGCCTGGTACAGGCCCCTGAATGAGTGACGGTGGGTAATTGGGGGGTGGGTGGGGGAGTGTTGTTTAGGCTAATGAATTTCACACATCCTGAAAAGGTGAATTTGTCATTTCTCCTGGAACTTGCAACATAGCTCTGGAAAGTGATGACGGGTCGTGTGTCGAACAGCAGGAAACCAAAGCAGCAGCTCCACCGATTTTCTGCAAACAGGCGTTGCTCGGTAACAGCTGTGTGGGGTGGGAGTCAAACAGGAAGTTGACCACATCAATTCAGAAAGTGACAGAGATGCTGAAGAACATAAAGGGGAGCCAGAAATTTGCGAGCCAAGAGGTTCCGGTTGGGTTTCCATTTTAGGAAGAGGATCAGGCCACACCTGGCTGTGCTCAGGGCTTGCTCCTGGCTCTGTGCTCAGGGGTCATCCTGGCAGTGTTCAGGGACCATGCTCAGTGCCCTGGGGACTAGATGCATTTCCAGGGATCTAACTGGGGTTGGCTGCACGCAGGCAAGTGCCTAACCCCTGTACTACTGTCGCTCTACCCCCTGAGTGGGTTTCCACATATCCTAAAACATCAGCTTAGGAGCTCTTTAAGTCAGGCCTTCCTAAACCTTTCCCACCTTTGACCCATTTCGGCAGAGAAACGTTTGCATGATGCTGGGTATCTGGGTGTGTAAAACACGTCTGCAAATCAAATTATACAAATTATACGAAAATTAGTTTAAGACAATCCTTTTAGAAGCTCAGCCTTAACCCAGGCACGCCTCTTTTTCTTGTGCTCCGCGTAAGTCGGCCCATTTCTGGCAAAGGAGCACCACTCGCTTCTCGGTGCTTGGTGCTCACGTCCTGTCTCTAGGCTGTGGATAATTGCCTCATGATAATGGCCTCCTACTAGTCATGGATGAGAGTCGAGCATAGATAAAGCTTAGATAGGCACTGTGCAGATACGCTCAAAATTTTTAAAGCCAAAGACCTTGTGGGCTAGGGCTGGAGCGATAGTTCAGTGGGGAGGGCATTTGCCTTGCATGTGGCCAACTTGGGTTCAATCCCCAGCATCCCATATGGTCCCCGAGTACCACCAGGAGTGATTCCTGAGTGCAAAGCCAGAAGTAACCCCTGAGCATAGATGGGTGTGACCCCCTCCCCCCGCAAAAAAAAAAGCCAAAAAACAAAAAAGGCTTTATGTGCCTGCTGTCTGGCAGAGAGGAGCTTGATGGGCAGGCTGGAACTGAACCCACGAACTCACAGACATTTGCCTGCTTTCGAATTTTATCTCCCAGGTCCGGGAAAGCAGACAGGGGTGCTCTCCAGATCTGAGTTGTGCCTTTCCATTTGGACTGTGGGGCCTAGATAAGTGAGGTTTCTGTCTTGCACCCAGAAAATCTGCCTACCTCTCACCTTTGCTTAAAGCACTGAGCCGAAATGGGCTTTGTTGGGGTATAAGAGCTGGGGACAAGCAGCAGGGCTGACTCCTGCGTGAGTGGAAGCTGTCCCCAGTCATCTTTGGTCATCTGCCTGTTCACAGAAACAGGAAGTTTCTGCTCTGATCACTTGCAATGAATGAAGGACATTGGGCACTTGTGACCGTCTCCCCTTACATGTTATCGCGGTGAACGGTTGAACTTACTGTCCAATTTCCTGAGCCTCTTTCATCGAGCTTCATTTGTCAATTTCCAGCTTTCATAGACACACAGATTGCCAGAGCGCTCCTGTGCAAAGGCAGAATCTGACTCAGTAGTTTGGCTGGTCTCTGGATGACACTCCAGCTGTGGGAAGCTGTTCAAACATTCCTTGATGTAAGGCTTTGGAGGCGGTGAGTTGCCGTAGTGTTGTAAAGACACAAATGTTTAAGACTCTAGCTTGTTAATTTTTTTCCCCTCAGGGTTTGAATGGCCAGAGGGTTTGAATTCTAAAGCAAGATGTGGGACCGGAGTGATAGTGCAGTGTGTAGGGTGTTTGCCTTGCACGAGGCCGACCTGGGTTAGATCCCCGGCATCCCATATGGTCCCCCAAGCACCACCACGAGTAATTCCCAAGTGCAGAGTCAGGAGCTGAGCATTGCTGGGTGTGACCTAAAAAGAAAAATATTAAGAGAAAGATATATGTTAAAGCTGAAAAATTGCATGATATACATAATTATTAATCATGCAAGCCTATGTGAAATGTCTCACTTCGGCCTGGTTGATCCAAATTTCATTTGAGTTGGCATTGGAATGCATTATGTGATTGGTTTTGGCGGGCTACTTGCTTTCGAATTGTGTTTTGTTTAAGGTGATGCTGGAAGTGGTTTGCATTGCACTTAACAGACTAACTGATGCCAAGAGTGGGTTGACCTGGAAGTACATTCCCGGCAGTTCCCACGGAGGGGCTATGAAAAAGGTCCCTGGCATCTGACCAGACACAGGAGCTAACTGCGAATTATATGCTTCAAGCTTTGCCCTTAATGGATAACACACAAAAATAGTTTCCATGCTCACAACCCTCTGTTTCTTTCTTTTTGGGGGGTCACACCCAGCGATGTTCAGGGGTTACTCCTGGCTCTGCACTCAGGAATTATTCCTGGCGGTGCTCAGGGAACCGTATGGGATGCTGGGAATCGAACCCGGGTTGGCCACATGCAAGGCAAACGCCCTCCCCGCTGTGCTATTGCTCCAGCCCACAACCCTCTGTTTCTAACTGAAAACTTGAATGCAAGAAATATCCTGGGGGGGGGGGGGGGAGAGAGAGAGAGAGAGAGAGAGAGAGAGAGAGAGAGAGAGAGAGAGAGAGAGAGAGAAAGACAGAGACAGAGACAGAGACAGAGAGAAGGAGGCAAGGCACTTGCATGGCAGGCCACTTACCATGGTTCAATCTCCAATACTGCATGTGGTCCCCTGAGCACTACCAGAGGTCACTCCTCAGCACAGAGCCAGGCACAGCCCGAGTAATGCCAGGTGCCGCCCATTCCCACCCTCACCACTCTCCCCCCGCCAAAGAAATATTGTCTTTGGAATCCCAAGAAGGTTTGTTCTTTTTTGGGGGGGGGGTCACACCCAGCGATGCTCAGGGGTTATTACTGGCTTTTCACTCAGGAATTACTCCTGGTGGTGCTCAGGGGACCTTATGGGATGCTGGGAATTGAGCCCAGGTCAGCTGCATGCAAGGTAAACGCCCTCCCTGCTGTGCGATTGCTTCTTCCCCCAATGAGCTTTGTTTATTCCTCACTCAAGAGCTGAAGTAACCTCCCAACGTTGCAGGGGCCTGGTACCTTAAAAAAAATCCTTATTGAGATGTAGTTACAGGTGGTGAAAGTACACAGTTCAATGGCAGAGTTGTGCAAATATCACCAGAACCTGAACTTAGAAGGGAGCGGATCCTGTATTCACCCACCTTCCCCCATTTCCCTTAGCCCATGGCAACTACTAACCTACTGTGCTTCTCTCGAGATTATTTTTAGAGATGTAGTAAGCATGGTTCTTTGTGCCTGGTGTCTCTTACTAGGCAATCTGTTTTTATATTTCTTCCTAGTTCTGGCAATATTAAGTACTTTGTTATTAAGTGATATTTTATTATATGGATAGACCACATTTTGGATACCCATCTCACACATAGACAATGTTGATGTACCTTTAGGTTCTTCAAACTAGTGCTTTTATGAACATTAGTGTCCAAGTTT